GGGATGAATGGGGGAGGAGGGGCGGGGCTCGCGTACGGAGGCGGTAGAAGGTGAGGGACATGTGCGTGAGGTGCTTGGCGCAGCGGTAGTCGGCGCTCTCCTCGCTGGCTATCAGGGCCGCCTCGAACAGGGCGCAGAGGTCGCAGAACGGCCCATCGAGCAGGGCTGCACACCAGACGGGGAGGATGTCAGACGTGCGCGTGCGAAAGAGGGGAAGGCGCGGGGGGAGGGGATGATCGTGGTGGCTGGTGGTGGCATACCGATCTCCTCTTTGGCGCGTGCCTGGTTGAGGGCGAGGGAGAAGCAGCGCCGGCCCCACTTGGCGCTGAAGAGGGCGGCCATCCGCTCCAGGTCCTCCCGCTCGAGGGACTCCCCGGCGAAGAGCCGGTCCACACACGCCCGCATAAACTCCTTCTCCGGCGGCCACCCGTCTGACAACGCCAACGCCAACCACGCACGCATGCGCCCACAAGCACGCGCGTGTGCGTGTGTCCCCATCCCCCCCCCAGTGCCATTAGGCATCAGTCATGGTGGGCGATCGGGGAATCACGAAGATGAATGAATGTACCCATGTCGGTGCTGCTGCGCTTGCTATTGCCCGGGCTCGCCGGCGGCTCTTTGGGGGCCGCCGTCGTTGCTGCCGCGTCCCCCTTGCCTCTGGCCGGTTCGGACGGCGTGGCTGTCAGCGATGAGGGTGGCACGTCGCCATCAGCAGCGGCCTCGAGATTGTGAGCGCCACTGGGCCGGCCGCCGCTCGATGGCGAGGCGGAGGGGGAGGCGGGCGCCCAGTCGCTGGGAGGCGGCTGGGGTAGTATGAGGGCGTGGGCGAGGAGCGAGGGAGACGAGGGCGAGATGGCCACCTTGGCGAACAGCAGCGGGTGGGACGACGACGTGACGGCGGCCGACGACCGGGAGAGCTGCGAGAGGGAGCGCTCCCGCAGATGCTTCCGCTGCTGCAGCTTGCTCCCGAGCGGCGTCGAGCCCACCGGCAGCACCTCGCTGCTGTCGTCGTGCCGCGCATCGCCGCCAGAGCAGCCACTCACCGCGGGTGAGCTCCCGCCATTGGCCCATCGGAATGACACAAAATGGTGGGGAGGATGGGGTGGGGGGCGGAACGCACGAGAGGGGCGCATGGAGGGGCCGGGCCGTCGGGGAGATGGAGGAGGGCGTGGGGATGGAGAAGAACGTCACCTTCACTTCGGCCAGCTGCGAGGCCTCGCTGTCGTCCACGTCCGTGTCCTGCGTGGTGTCGTGTGTCGTGTGTATCGTGTGTATCGTGTGTGTGTCGTGTATGTCGTGCGTGTCGTGTGTGTGTGTGTGTGTGTGTGCATGGGGGTACCCCATCCATCCAAAAACAGCAGAGCACGCATCGGTCAGCCATAGGCTATGCATCCGCCACCGCCGATTGCGCAACACACCTAGGCAGGCGCGACGGAGGGTACGAACCTCACTCATGCTGTCGTCCCGGTCGTCTCCGCTGCTGTCGTCGTCGTCGTCGTCGGAGCTCGAGTCCACCTCCTCTTCCTCCTCCGAGGTGGTGGTGGTGGCACTCCCCGACGAATCCTCGTCGTCGTCGTCGTCGTGCTCCCTTGCTGGGCGAAGGCGGCCTTGCTGGAGGGCGGCGGTAGGTGGGCTGCCGGGGGAACTCGCGAGGGACGAGGTGGGCCTGGAGGCGGCGGCGGCGGGGAACGTGTGGGACCACTCCCGCGACGCCGCGATCCACTGGCGCCGCGATGCCGCCCCGGCCTCGCCGGCAGGCTCGTGCGTGGGGCCATGGGCTCCTCTTTCGCGCGCCGAGTGGGGCATAAGCCACTCCCACGACCCGGTCAGCGTCGCACCCGTCTGCGCCGCCACTGGCGGCTGACCTCCTCCTGCCTCCTCCTGTACCGCCGCCGCCTCCACCACCGTGGTCGTTCGCTCGTCCACTGCCGCTTCCGCCCGTGCGTGAGCAGGAGCGACGAGGACGGTGGCCGCCTCCGCCAACAGCTCCGCGGCAGGGTCAGCGGCGGAGGTGCAGCCACCGCCGGGCGACGCTGTTGTGTTGTCGGCACCTGCGCCTCGTGCGTCCCCCGCTTCGTGCGTGTGGTCGTCCTTCTCCACCCGGCGCGGGAGCTGCTGCTGCTGCTGCTGCTGGTTGTGGTGGTGGTGGAGGGCCGTGGCAGGCAGCCACGCGGGGCTGGCGAGGGTGGTGGCGCGCACGTCGAGGCTGCCCTGGCGCGCGTGCGCCTTGCGCAGGTGGGCGCTCGCCCCAGGAGGGGGTCGCCCCTTTCTCTCGCCTTCCGCCATCTATTTCTGCAACCGAAGGTTTCAACGCCAACAGCTCCTTCCCCTTCCCTCGTGGCTGTCGCTTTCTTTTTCGTCTTGCCCCCCCCCCCGCAAACAGGATAGAAAATAATATTATTTTCTCGTTTGCTGACGTGGCGGGCGGGCTTCGGCAGAAAATATTGGAACAGAGGCCCACCGGCTCTCGTCACGCTCACAGACGGGCCTTGGCGGCCGCTTCTGACGGCTGCGCCGAGTAGACGCGGTAGAGGGTGACGACGGCGGCGCTTCCCAGGCCAAAGTTGTGCTGGAGGGCCACCTTGGCTCCCTCCACCTGCCGCTTGTCGGCTTTGCCCCGTAGCTGTGCGGAGGGGTAGAGACGTGGCGTGAGACGACACACTACGCACCACACATACCTATATACATACGTACACTACGCACATACATAGTATGGGGGAAGGGCGAGGTACGTACCTGCCAGCAGAGCTCGGCGCACTGGGCCAAGCCCGTGGCGCCGATGGGGTGGCCCTTGGACTCAAGACCGCCGCTCGGGTTGACCACCCATCTGCCGCCCACCTGCCCAGTGCCAAGCGGAGCCACGCGCCATGTCACGTCATCCACTACCCTCCGGGGATTCGTGTTTGGGGGGGCAACGCGCGAGTTGCGACTGGTCATGGTACGTACCTGGAATAGTTCGCCGCCGGCCGCGTTGCGAATCCACCGTCCAGAGTCGACGAGCTTGCCGCCCTCGCCCTTTCCGCACAGGCCCACGGCTTCCATGACCAGCAGCTCGTTGACGGAGAAGCAATCATGGACCTGGATGGTCGCTATCGCTGTCATGACTCACCAACATCCCCCTCCCCCACTCTGTGCACACTGCCCGACAGCTCTGTGGGCTGGGCGTACCTCGAGCACATCGACATCGCTCGGCTTCAGACCCGAGTCTCGAAAGACTTGCTGAGCGCCCCTCGACGTGAGGTCGAATCCACACAGGTTGGCAAAGCTGTTCGCCGTAGCGTGGCACACACACGACACAAAGGTCGGTCGTACCCGCGCATAGCATACTCTAATGGTTGGGCAGGGGTGGCGCACCTCTTGTTCTCGAGGTCGAATGACGAGGGCACGTCGGTGACGAGAGCTTGAGCCACAATTTCCACGGCCTGGCTCTCGAGCCCGTGCGCCTTAACGAACTCTTCGCTGCACACGAGCGCGGCCGCCGCACCGTCGGCCGTTGCGCAGGCCTATATAGCCACCGCGTTTGTTGCGCAGCAGCAGCAGCAGCAGCTGGTGAGACATGCAAGGCCCTCTTCCTCCCCCCCCCCAACAGGCTCGCTCGATGGGAGGAGAGGGAAGAGGCTCATAAGGGGAGTGTCCAGAGCAACGATGCAAGGCGCCGAGGGAGTGGCGCACCTGGAATAGCGTGATGGGGCCGTAGAGCTTACGCGAGCCATCCGCGATGACCTGCGTGAGGCGTGTGAGCGAAGGTCCTTCGAGCCGCATGGAGCAGAACACATGAACACGCGAGAAGAAGAAGAAGAAGAAGAAGAAGAAGAAGGAGAGGCAGGCCCGCACCGCGAAGGGGATCTCCTTCTGGAGTTGGGCGTAGGGGTTGTTGACGGAGTGCTTGTGGTTCTTGTAGGCCAGGGTGGTGAGGTGCGCATCGTTGGACCCGTACTTGCGCTGGTGCTCGAGTGCCGCGTCTGGAGAACGATCAGTTCATTTGCAACCACCATCCGCCGGCAGCTGCCGCCACCGCCCCGTCATCGCTGCTGCGTTTGGCGCGAGTGGAGCGCACCGCCGAACATCTTGATGACGTTGCCGGTCATTTCATTGAGCCGACCCACCTGCTGGCTGCAGCCAGGCCGGTTGGGGTGAGTCTGGCACCACCCTGGAGCGCATGCACACGCCAGGCACAGGGTGCTGTGGGGGGGAGGGGGCGTACCGGTTGGAACCGCACGCGAACATGTAGTCAAAGTGGCGCGCCACGGGACTCGTGTAGCCCGAGTCCGTATACTGTTGTACTCCCCACCACCCACCAATCGGAGAACACATGCGCGACAGCAGGAAGGAAAACTCGGCTCAGCACCGGAGGCTCTCAATCGACGCGAGGCGGGTGGAACGAGAGAGGAGGGCCGTAGTAGTACCTTTTGCGAGAGATTGCGTTCCATCTTCTCGAAGCCCAGGGCGAGCGCGCACGAGTACAGGCCGCCCGCCACGAAGTTCCTTGCGCGCATGGCACGTGCGGAGCAGAGCAGAGAAGGGCAGAGGGAGTGTTTGGTGATGAGAAGGGAAGGCCGGCCCTTCCAAGGGAGGAGCTGGTGAGGTGGCCCTACCGCGCGACGAAGAGGGCAGTGGAGCCCGTGGAGCAGTTGTTGTTGACGTTGACCACAGGCACACCCGTCAGGCCCATCTCGTAGACCGCCCTCTGCCCTGGTCGCACGGCCCCGCGCCACACCACCCACGCACCACCCCACCAGCCACCACCAGCCACCACCAGGCACCGCACATGTGCCGCGCGCGTATGCGTGTGAGTAGGACTACGACGACGCTGCGGCACACGCTGTACAGGGGCACACGAAGCGCGGTGGTTGCTCGGCTGAGAGGTGGGACGAGGCAGGGTGCAGGTACCGCAAGTGGGCTCGCCGTAGCAGTAGCCGGCCACCACAGCCTCGACGGCGGTGTAGGGCAGGCCAGCATCGCGGAGTGCAGCGGTCACGGCCTCCCGAGCCATCTCCGGGTAGTCCGGCCCGGTCTGCGCCTTCATGAACCTGCGTTGGTACCCCCCGGTAGCCAAGTGGGAGTGAGCAGCAGCACTTGCGTGTCTGGTGCGGGACAAAGTGGTCCTACCGTGTCATGCCCACCCCCACCACAAACACGCGAGCTGGCGCTGCCCCCCTCGCTTGGGGAGCGCTGCTGGGGGCCGCGCTCTGGTCCTTCATCACAAGGTCTCGAAGAAGTCACTTGGCGTGTAGGTTGTACTTTTTTTGTTGTTTGTTCAAACGAAAACAAGACCAGTGTCGGCAGGAAGTCTGCGTGGCATCAAGGAATGCCAGGCACGCAAGGCGGTGGCCTGTTTGGGGTGGCTCAAGAAGCCTGCGGGACAACCAACCGAGCAAGGTGGTGGCCCCACGTTCGAAACAGAAGAAAAAGAAAAAGACCACATACAGAGAGAGAGAGACAAGTCGATGAGCAGCCAGAACAGAGGACGCAGATCGGTGACGGGCATCGCCGCCCCCTCCAACGAGAGCCTCGAGGATCTCCTCAAGGCCCTGGAGCCCGATGCCCAGCCCAGCGGCTACGCCACGCCCGCCGGCCATTCCAAGATCTCCACCTCGGAGCTGGAGGACCTGATCGCTGGCCTGGACGACGTCGTCGTGGACCCCAGGCCCAGGCCCGCCCCCGCCGCAGCTGCGGCCCCCAAGCCGGCCAGCGGAGGCGACGACCTCGAGGACCTGCTCAAGGAGCTCGAGGGCGCGCAGGGTCCCCCTCCCTCTCGCCCCAGTGCCCCGGCCCCGGCCGCCGGCGTGCGCAACTCGTCGTTCGGGGCGCCCCCCGCCTCCGCCTCCTCCCAGCAGCAGCCCCGCCACTCGGTGGGCGACGTGGACGCCCTCCTCGACGCCACCCTCAACTCCCTCGAGTCCTCCTCCCCCTACGGCGGCGGCGGCGGCGGTCACCACCACCAGTAACGCGCCCCTCCTCCCCCCATTTACACATTTTTGTGAGCTTCGCACCGCGCCTGCTGCTGCTGCTTCGCGCTAGCCAGCCCGCCAATGGTGATGTGCGTCATGCTGCAGGGCACAGGGTAGGTCGTCGTCGTCTGCGGGAGACGATGGGTCGGGCATGGACGCCATCCTGCAAAACCTGAACTCGTCGCTCCACAACGACGCGTCGCCCATCACCAAGGACATCCTGAGCCTCTCCTCCCCGTCCGAGGGCACCCAGGAGCTCGCCCTCCGCAACATCATCAACTTCTGCCTCGAAGGTAGTGCGCACAGCCACCCACCCACTTTTATGCGACCCCGTGGCTCGTCGCCCGACTCGTGAACTAACGCCCACGCCCACGCCCACGCCCACGCCCACGCCCACGCCACGCCCACGCCCACGCCCACGCCCACGCCCACGCCCACGCCCACGCCCACGCCCNNNGCCCACGCCCACGCCCACGCCCACGCCCATGCCCACGCCCACGCCCACACACGCACGCAACCCAGAACCCAATCGTATTGTTGTGCGGCAGAAGGACGGCATCCCGCCGATCGCCAAGCTGCTCACCTCGGCCAACGCGGAGATCCAGGCCCTTGCCGCCCATGCCATCGCCAACCTTTCCCTCCACGGTACTGACACTCATCCCCAGGTCTGTACGGTTTACATTTGTGGAAGAGGAGGAGGGGGGGTGGGTGGGTTGCTGACACCCTGGTGTGCGTGCGCATCCCTTCTCGCCCGCCGCCGCCGCCAGCCGAGAACAGGGCCGCGGTGCGCAACACGCGCGGTGCGATCCAATCGCTTGTACAGATGCTCTCCTCGCGCGACGAAGCCGTCCAGGAGAAGGCCCTCACCGCCATCGCCAACCTTTGCGTCGATGACCGTACTTTTCCCTGTCGCGCCCCATCGCGCTCTCACATCCCAATCTGTGTGGGCCAACTCTTCTGACCTCCTCCTCCTCCTCCTCCTCCTCCTTCAAATGTGTGCAGCCACCAACAGGCAGGAGTTCCGCCGCGTGGGAGTCACCGAGAAGGTAGTGCTGGCCCTCTCCTCGAGCAGCGACGACGTTGTCAAGAGAGCCCTCACCGTCATCGTCAACACCTCCTTCGATGGTACGCGCCCGCGCGCGGCTTCCTCCCTCTTTCTCTTTCTCTTGCCCCTCCCAAAGCCAGCACCCATCTCGGGAACAGGGTGCACAGTGCTCGCACCGACCTGAACTGCAGCTTTCCTGATCCCTCTCTCTCTCTCCTCACTCACTCTCACTCTCACTCTCACTCTCGGTGTAGCCGACGCGCAGAAGGAGCTGGCCAGTTCGGGCGGCATATTTTCGATCGTGCCCCTCCTCAACTCGCCCAACGTCGAGAAGCAGACCAACTCTGCGTGGGCGCTCGCCGCATTGACCATGGGCGGACGTACGCGTGGCCCGCCTCTGTCGTTGCTCCTTGCTCACCAGCCACCACCAGCCATGCACTGACGGGCCTTCTGTGTGGCGTGGTGGCGGCTGGTGGTGGCTGGTGCTATCCATTTTCCTTTTCCTTCTCCTCCAGCCGAGATCCAGCAGGCCTTGTACGAAGCGGGAGCACTCCCCGCGTTCGTCAAGCTCCTCAACTCGGGCAACCCCAACGCAGAGCTGAAGGCTCTCACCGCCCTCGTCAACCTCTCCGGCAACGGTACGACGACCACACCATTCACCCAGGCCCCATATCATACTCCACCTCCTCCTCCTCG